TATGGGGACCTGATATGTTTAATATGCTGCTGAGAATATAGCCCAGAAGAAGCGTATAGTATAGCTTTTATTTTGGAAAGAGACATTTCTGGTATCTAATGTCTCAGCGTATCTAAAAGTGAGCGGCATTGTTGAGAAGAACCACAAAGTCATCTGGAAAACACAAGCATCATTACCCAAAAAACTATGTGAAGGTTTGTCCTCCACTACTCTGATCCTTCTAGCTCCTGCAGGGATCACCACAGCTTCGATATAGCCTGATGGAGACACAGAAGCAGGACAGAAAAACTATCAGAAGCAGAAGGTGGGCAAAAAGGGATGGGCTGGTTATTTCTGTCTACATCGGAGTTGTCTATTTAAAGATAAATTTAGTTCCTTACTCATGCTTACTCAAATAGCATAAGTACCAAACAGGGCACCAGAATCAACACATTAATCCGCAAGGATGGAAGCTTCATTGGTCAAAATTTGGAGAGGAGCAAACTTCTCTCCATCATGAACAACTACAGTTGTTTAAAATCCCACAAGGCTGGCCGACATGACAGACGATGGGCAGGGCTGTGAGTACTCAGACTGTGTTTTGAACGCAATATGGATAAGATCTTGGAGAAGAACAACAGGAATTGAGAGAATTGGTGACCAGTGACGGACATTAGAGCAGCTGTAAAAATTGGATGCAGTTGTTCGCACTAAACCCAAATCATCCATCTTCACTCATGCGGCTATCCCACTGGCGCCAGCTGAAGGCCTGCCAAGGTCTAAGCTGATTGGAACAACAAAAATCTCCATGATAACAGGATTGTTGTCAGAACTCTTTGTTCCTCCTTCAAGGCCGTCCGCGTTGATCGAAGATTGTTGACTTTTGCTTAACCGGGTGAAGGGACACTTTCTCTCCGTTGACACAGAACACACAGAACACACACACGCATGTACACTGACACAGACCTACACTCACCCCCCCTCCCCCCCCAAACGCCTTCGAAGCTTATGTCTTCTATGCTGTGAGATGTGATGATTCATGTGCTGAGGTGTTTTTTTCTGTTCTCAAACTGATCTCCCTGTTGAGGCTCAGTCTAGGGCAGACCTTCCCAAAGTGTGGGGCCCGCCCCCTATGGGGGGGTGCAAAGCCATTGCGTGGTATGAAAAGGGGAAAAAAACAAAACAAAAAACAAAACGCTTGGACACTGCTTCAATTCAATTCAATTCAATTTTATTTATATAG